GCCGGCGGGGGCTAGCGAGCTTAAGGGGTCAATACATTGCCTCAATGGCAGGCAATGTCCCGGGGGCCATAGATAATTCATTCGCGGGCCGGATTTGGCCCGCGGGCCTTGACTTTGACACATGTGCTCTATGGTGTTGTTTTTGGTTACTGTTTATACTATATTGATAATGACTTTTGATGACTGAATATGTACTGATCTTTACAATACAGTAAGGTTAAAATAGTATTATTGAACATTGTATTTTGAATGAGATAGCATTGCTATTTATGGATGAGATATATTATGATTCTTATTGTAATATTATATGTATCATTGATATATGTGCACATTAGCCTGAGTGATTTTAGCTTTAAACAACTAGCTTGGATCAGAACTAAACTGGTACCTGGTTATTTATTGGAGCTTTGGTCTTGTTCTCAAGGGCCATGGTTCCTACTGATTCGATGATGGCGAGCTAGAAAGGAGCAGGCAGAGAGCCTATAGTCTGGCACTCCGCTGAAGAAACGGAATTACCTCTCCTGCTGGGCTGGTAGGGGGCTCCTTGTAGCCCACAAACTCTCCCCACACACCTCTCACTGCACACACACACTATTCCCCCCATAAACTAAAGACAATTCCCCCTTGGACATTCACATTATAACCCAGACGTGGGTTCTCCTTGGGACTTGTGGAGGGGTCGGGAAGTGTGTTGAATCCCTCAGCTTTGAGGGTTCCCAAGTTGTGGGTTCTGGACTTTTTTTTTGTTCTTTTGAAATATGTCTGATGATCGAGTGTTATTTCAACAGCTGCATTGAATCATTGTTGCTATTGTACTTTTATTACTGAATGGCCATTCTATCTATAATTGGTGTACACTGTAAATGTTTTTGCACGTTTTCCTCATCTTTATTACTAAATGCATGGTACCTGCAAAAAGTTATTCCGTCTCCTGTCCACTCCCTCCTAGAGCCGTACCTAGACTTCTGTTACTAGCCCAGACTTTCAATTGTGTTACCTGTTTTCTTTGACTCATATTCATTAGTCTCAACATTTAATCAGGCCACAGGTGCTACAAAGTACTTTGTGGAGATTGGAAATTGTGTCTCAGATCATATGGCCCTGACCTGTGGAGTACCACAGGGGTCGATCCTGGGACCTCTTCTGTTCAATCTCTACATGCTGCCGTTAGGTCAGTTAATACGCAGAAACGAAGTTTCCTATCATAACTATGCTGACGACACTCAGATCTATGTCTCACTGACTGCAGGAGAACATGGACCAGTGGACTCACTCCTTCACTGTATCCAACAGATCAGTGAGTGGATGCAAAACAACTTCCTTCAGCTAAACGCAGACAAAACTGAAATGATTGTCTTTGGTCATCTGTCATCTACAGTCTCTCTCCCTAAAACCTTCAAACAAGGTCAGAAATCTAGGGGTAATACTGGACTCAGACTTAAATTTTAATAGCCACATCAAATCAGTAACATCAGCAGCTTTTTACCATCTAAAAAACATTGCCAGGATCAAAAACATAGTGTCTAAAGCAGAGTTGGAGATTCTTATCCATGCATTTGTCTCCAGTAGGTTAGACTACTGCAATGGCCTGCTCACAGGTCTGTCCAAACAGGCTGTAAAACAGCTGCAGTACATTCAAAATGCAGCAGCTCGAGTCCTGACTAGAACCAGGAAGTACGACCACATTAGTCCTGACTAGAACCAGGAAGTACGACCACATTAGTCCAGTTCTCAGGTCTCTGCACTGGCTTCCTGTGGCTCAGAGAATAGACTTTAAAACAGCTCTGCTTGTGTACAAGTCTCTCCATGGCCTCGCACCAAAATATATTAGTGACATGTTAGTCCCATATGAACCAGCCCGGACTCTGAGGAGCACAGGGACTGGACTCCTGTTAGTGCCCAGAGTCAGAACTAAACATGGGGAGGCTGCTTTTCAGATTCATGCTGCTAAAATCTGGAACAGTCTTCCTGAAGATGTGAGACAGGCCTCCTCTCTGACAATGTTTAAAACCAGGTTAAAGACAGTTCTGTTTAGCTGTGCATACAACTGAGGGATTTTATGTTTGTATCTTTCTTTTTAATGTTCTGTGATTATTTATGATTTTAATGCTTTTTTGTTTTGTTCAGCACTTTGAATTGCCTTGTGTATGAATTGTGCTATATAAATAAACTTGCCTTGCCTTGCCTTGCCAAGTGAGGGATTTAACTGAGAGCATGCAGTACAATGTGAGGGATTTAAACTGAGAGCCTGTAGTACAATGCGAGGGGAATAAACCGTCCGCAGGTCAGCGCACTTACCCACAAACGCCAGAAGACAGGGGAAAAACAACAGTACCACACCGTTCCGGCACGAGGAGGCAGGGATGCGCACAGCTCCCACCGCACCGGTCCAGACCGGCCGCGTGCAACAGCGGCCGCGACGAGACGAGCAGCGGCGAACCCGCAGAAAGAGCCCGCAAAGGAGGAGAGCGGCAAAGACCCGTGGACCGCAGCACGAGACCCGCAGCAGGTGCAGCGACGCGGAGGAGGAGCAGACCACACGCAGCAAGACAGAGGACAGCAGGGACACGCACGAGTAAGCGTGAGTAGACGAAAGCGATTCCTCCAGAACGACTCCTTGCGAGGCTTGAGAAGGCCGTGAATTGGGAGTCTCCGCTTTTAAGATGCTTGCCTGGCCTGCATAGGTTGGCTGGGAATGGGCGTTTGCTGTGCGATAGGCCGAGGATGAGAGGCAGGCTTGGAGGGGATAGCTTTGGCAATCAGTCTACCAGAGTGAACCTTCGTGAAGCTCCATTAGTCTAACCTACTGGAGACAAATGCAAAGAATCTACAAGTCTGCTCTCGACAATATAGGTCTGTATTGGCAATGATTTTTAGAAGGTAAAAATCTGCTGATGCTATTGATTTGATTTGGCTATTAAATTATTATTATTATTATTATTTGGCTATTCCAGGATCGAACCCTGTGGTATTTACATATATATTAATATCACCTGTGATGACTAAAATTATTAATAAAACTGTGACGAGACCGTGGTGCATTGTACAGGCCAATGAAGAAAATAGATTTTTATTATTCCAATTTAAAAGACAAAAGTGCAAATGATGAAGAGGCATTCTACAAACATCCCCTTTATAACCCAGTAGAAAACAGTAGTAAGAACAGTAGAAAACCCTCTGTAAAAACATAACACACTACAGCCATCTCATAGATATTTTACTGAAAGACAAGCAAAATGATAAAGGATTTGTCTTCATAAAAAAAAAATCTGTGATCAGTGTTGTCCTTGTTGGAGCTGTGAGTTTGGGCAGACAGCCGTGTCTTGGTAGATTTGCAGTGGTGCCACACTCTTTCCATTCATGAAGCTGTCTCTGACCACAGCTCTCAGTGACTTTACTGAGAGCGGATTAGACCGGTCGACTCTATTTAATCGTGGTGAACATTTAGCATCTTTGGGAATGTTTTAAAGGCTTTAATGCTCACTGAAAAGTTATGTGTGAATACTTTTGCACTTTTCTGTTTTTCTTAATGAATAACAATATCCTGTGTCATTTTGCTTTCACTACTTCTGTACTAACTTCCAGTAAAAATCCAAATAAAACCATGTTTATTGTTGTAAACATTACAAAATGTGAACAAGTTCAAGATATATTAGTCATTTTCAGAGATACATGTATAAAGGACAGTCTCTTAAATAAATCTTATATCAAATGAAGCCATAGCGTTTTGGCTCAGGATTCACTGGAAGACATTCACATCATCGTTAAATTACAGTTTAAAAAACAGTGTCGGACGTGAGTAGATGTAGTTCAGTCTGAGTTTCGTGTTATATACAAAAACATTCCTGATCATAAAATACATGAAAGAAGCTGCTTTTGATAATTGGTTTAAACAAATAAAACTGAAATATAAGTTAGAATCACAGTACAGGCGGCTGAAGCACACGTCCCTGAGAGACAGCCGCCTCAATCATCTCAAACAGGCTCTTAAAGGGGAAGTACCCTGATCCTGATCTCTATAATATGACCATCTTTGACCCTGTAGCTCTTTATTCCATATGTTTATGGTTGATATGAATGTTTAGATTGGACTAAAACAATAGTTTAGAAGAAACAAGACTGCTCCTCCTTCATAATGCCCCTTAGACCTGCCCCTTATGTACCTTAGCCCCGCCTCTTTGAGGAAGTGTCCGTGAAATTTGAAGTCCCGGCGACCCGAGATCCGTTCCCTGGAGCTGGATGATCCTGGACCACAGCCTTCTCTCTGCTGCAAAACATCTTCAACCAATGTATCTATTCCACTATGTGTTGTTTGTGTATAAAATAACAATAGTATAACTAACTATTGTTATTTCAACGTTTCCATCCAACCCCATTTACATTTAATAACCATAGTTTCTTACAGATGTTGAGAACATAAATAGTGTCAGGTGTAAATTGATGTAAACGGTTCCAAATGTATGTGTTTACTGTTTCGTCTACGTCGCTCGGCGTAAAGTGGGGGAGAGTCTATTTACCAGAACTCCAGAGACCATGAAGGCCTTCTGCCTAAATGTTAGTGTACAGATGTTTTAACTGTAACATTTACTTTTGAATGCTCTGGAAAGTCTCTCTGAAACTGTTATTGTGTTTTACAATTGTTGTTTTTCTTGGTTTCTCTCTCTGTTGCTGCAGAACAGTGTTCATGGTTTTACACTGATCCAGACCAGAGAATATACACTGGAGGTTTTATTTTTATTTTTTAAGGCTAATAAAGCATTCAGCATTTCACTCTGAACCAGAGCAGAGAAAATGGTCCAAACTAAGCAGACTCTGCAAACATCACCAGCGGCTGCACCATCGGTTGCTGCTGCACTTTATAACTATTATTAGTAACTTTTAGAATAATGTATTATTTTTATTTTGTTTGTATTAATGGATGAGTTTCTCCTGCAGGGATCAATGAACTATATCTACCTATATTTCTTCAACACGTCCTGAAATCTTTGTGGCTCTTCCTCCTAATTGGTCACTTGTTGATCTTGGTCAAGTGGCTCTTCCTCCTGATTGGTCGCTTGCTGATCTCGGTTGAGTGGCTCTTCTTCCTGATTGGTCGCTTGCTGATCTTGGTCAAGTGGCTCTTCCTCCTGATTGGTCGCTTGCTGATCTTGGTCAAGTGGCTCTTCTTCCTGATTGGTCGCTTGCTGATCTCGGTTGAGTGGCTCTAACTCGTGATTGGGTACTTGTGGTGGAATGCCTGTTTTTAAAAGTATGAGTTTTGTTAATGAAGGATTTTTGTTTTGTTTTTAACAATAATTAACTTACTTCTCCTGCGTTTGACAAACCAACACACAGCTCCAATCCCAATCACAATCACAATCCCAATCCCAATCAAAGCTTTCTCCCATGGTTCAAGGACGTCTGGACCTAGAAGAAAAACAAAGTACAGTTAATGGCAGCTCAGGATTTTCAAAAAAGAAATGATATAAATGATACTTTTGTGTCTGTGCCCACTCTTCCAGATGAACGAGAACAATCGAATGGTTCTAAATGGTTCTAAATTCCCACCTCTGCACCTTCTCCACCGACTCCCACTGATGACTGCTGTCGTTGTGTCCTTGGGCAAGACACTTAACCCCACTTTGCCCAAAGCCCCCACTGAGAGATCAAGGCTATGCTCACACTCAGAGAGCAGCCGTCCTCCTGTGGACTCACCACCTGCAGAGGGTCAGTGAGGGGCTGGTGCTATGAGACTTGGGTGGCATCTCTGACTGCCACCCCCCTGACCCAGAAATGGATTAAAGGGTAGAAAATGGATGGATGGATGGTTCTAAATGTAATAGATCATTTAAAGTGGTCTTTGTGTTGACACCAGTTGAGTCTTGTTCATGACGTCCTGGTTTCAGGTCAAACCATGTTGATGTCTGTGTCCGTCCCGTGGATGTATTATTTGATAAAGGCTCGTCCTCGTCCCACTTTCACTCTATTCTACAACACTTTGTCTCAGATGATGTCTTTATTCTCACTCAAATGTCCAGACCCACACTAACATCAGGAACGTCCCCCGACCCTTCTGCACATTCAAAACAGAAACAAGTGCTGCAGCCTCTGTGCAGGGTTTGACATCACTCTTTAGGACTCATCGTTTTGCACTGGCTTTTTTATGTTGGTCATGTTATAAATGTTTGTTTTATTGTTTGCATCTGGGGTGGATTGTGAAGGGCTTTGGGAGCAGTAGCTCTAATGTGAGCTGGGTCTTACCTTTGTGGTCCTTGTCGCCTTGCCCCATGTCGTGGCCCTTTGTTATCACTGTGGAGCAGCACAGACAGATGTCAGTTATAACAGAACACTGTATTTTATTCAAAAAGTATTTTATTCAGTAAAATACTTTTAGGGATTTATTTTTCCCAGTATTGTCCTAAAAGTGAACAGTGCAATATTTACAAAAATGATGGGCGTTTTTTCAGCATCGCAGGTCCTACCTTCTCTGCAACCATGTGTCAACTAACCTGAGCAGGTCGGTCCTGCTCGGCACGGTCCTGCTCTTAAAGGCCAAGCCTTGACTTTAATGTCATTGACTTAACTCAATGAGTGCCACAAACGTAATTTTACGGAAAGGCTTTTTTTTCTACATTTTGAAAGCAGACACTCTGACACACGTGTGTAAATTTGGGAATGCTATGATACATTTAACTGCTTATGTGACGATCTAAAACTCATTAAACACTTAAACGTGTGTTATTTATTGTTCATAACGCAGCTTTGAGTGGTGCCGCTTTGCCTCATATAGTGATCCTGGTCAAAGTCAAAAACATATTTACATGAGTCTGTCGCTAGGTGGCAGTCTTGACTCATCCTTTAGCAGAAACTTCACTGATGCAGTGTTTCGCTGCTGACGGAGATGAGGAAAAAGTGTCCAAAAAAAGTATCCGCCAGACACGCCTGAAGAGCGCTTTTTACATCAAAGAAGTGAGTAAACTTCAGGGACTCGTGCTCAGGAGGAAGGTGAAGGGAGGCGCTCAGAAGGAGGAGGGAGGCGCTCAGAAGGGAGGTGCTCAGAAGGAGGAGGGAGGCGCTCAGAAGGGAGGTGCTCAGAAGGGAGGTGCTCAGAAGGAGGAGGGAGGCGCTCAGAAGGGAGGTGCTCAGGCTGAAAGATCACCACGGACTGGTCTGAGCGAATAGTAAGAGATAGGGACCAACCAGGACCAACCGATTTGTGCGTGTAAGCGGTCGCGTATTCCTGCCGTTGTCTGCAAAGAGGATCTTTTTATGTTTGTATTTTCTTTTTTATTATATCCCTACACATAAACATTTGTTTTCTAATTGTACATTCGTATTGTTGTTGTTGCCATAAATCTTCATATGGATCAAATTTCATCTCCAGAGTTCATTGTAAAGGAGGTATAAATATTCATATAGATTGCATTTTTTGTAGCCTACCCCATGCCTATAAGATATATCTATCTTATAAATGTCTGTGAACCCAAAAATGTATGTGTCAGAAGAACTACACCCTCAAAAATATGATATTTCATAAAACGGTCTCTATCTCCAGAATTTTCATGAAAGTTTCCGATCTTTTGCTTAGGATATCTCAGGGGCAACAGCTGGTAGAAACTGAAGGTTTTCACCATCTGAAAGTTCAAAGCCTCACCTTTCAAACACGTTTATAGCATGTGATTATGGCAGTAACACAGAATATGCTTTGGCTTTGCATCAGGAAATATTGACATAAGGGCTGGCATTCTAAACCCAAGCTGTTGAAACAAGTCCATTCATGCCCAAAACAATACTATAGAAATGGTCCCAAACTAAACAGTAATGCATAGAATCATTCCCACACTGAATAATCCCCCTCTACAGTTTTAGAGATTTCATGACACTTTGAAGCAACTGTGGTTAAAGTTCTAACTCATCATTCTTAACATATGCACGAGGCAGTACTTTTCCATTGCATGTTTTGATTTCTGAAGGCCAAGCTACTGGCACCGTGGTGATAGCTGATTGGACGGTGTTCATTCCTCCATGCTGTATATTATCACTTGCATTCTGTAACATCTTTGTTCGTCCTATCTCTACCATGGACAATAAAACATGTCTTCTGTCTGAATTAAAGACTCAATCTCAGACTTTGACATCTTCTTCACAGTCATGAGAATTAATAAACAACATGAAGCAAGGATTACATGACGCTCCACTACACTTATGTGTGTGCGCCGGTGCCTCTGTTTGGGAAACCCATGGGAGATACACACGGTGAGTAGTAGTGCTCTCAATACTGAGGCAAACTGTGGAGCTCCGTCAAAACTTCCCCTGAAGCTTACTCACCAGTGAGGGTCACATTAGACTGCTGGGTCTGGGTCTGGTTCTGGGTCTGGTCCTCGATCTTCACAGTTAGGTGATACACTGCTGTATCAGCTTCAGTTACGTTGTGGATGATCAGAGAGATGTTTCCTCTTTCCAAATCCTCCTCTACAATTTCTGTTCGGCCTTTGTAATCTAGATGTTGATCCTGATAATCCACTCCCATATCCCTGAGGTAAACTATCTTTTCTCCTGTCTTCACTTCTACACTCCACTTCACAAACTCTGAGGTCAGATTCTGCGGTGGGTTCACACAACATCTGAAAGTGGCGTGACTGTGAAGATCCACCTTGATCGGAGGGACACAGGTCACTTTAAACCCTGAAGAAGACAAATCTGGAGTTATTTCCCGAGACAAGGGCATTCTGGGTATTGTAGTTAATGATGGTGACATACATTATATAAATGCATAATGTCGTGATATTATATATTGATATTCTGGCCTTTTGCCTGAAGTAAGGGTTCAAGCCCACCCCGAAACGTACTTCACAACTCCCACTGAGGTCTGCTGTTGTTGGCGCTTTGGGCAAGACACTTAATCCCACTTTGCCTGAAGCCCCTTCTGAAAGATAATGACAGCTCAGACTAGAGCAGCCGTCCTCCTGTGGACTCAGCACCTGCAGGAGGATCAAGGGCTGGTGCTCTGTGTACTCGGTGTAGCTCTGACAGCCATCCCTGACCCAGAAATGGATTAAGGGGAAGAAAATGGATGGATAATATATACAATATATACCCCTTGAACCTTTCAAAATTTCGCCACATTTCAGGGTTAGGGTTAGGATATAAAAATTATTTTTTTGGTCAAGAATCAACAACAAGTGGGACACAATCGTGAAGTGGAACGAAATTTAACAAATAAAAAACTGAAAAGTGGGGCGTGCAATATTATTCGGCCCCCTTGCGCTACTACTTTGTAGCGCCACCTTTTGCTGCAATTACAGCTGCAATTCGCTTGGGGTATGTCTCTATCAGTTTTGCACATCGAGAAACTGGAATTCTTGCCCATTCTTCCTTGCAAAACAGCTCGAGCTCAGTGAGGATGGATGGAGAGCGTTTGTGAACAGAAGTCTTCAGCTCTTTCCACAGATTCTGGATTGGATTCAGGTCTGGACTTTGACTTGGCCATTCTAACACCTGGATACGTCTATTTGTGAACCATTCCATTGTAGATTTGGCTTTATGTTTTGGATCATTGTCCTGTTAGAAGATAAATCTCCGTCCCAGTCTCAGGTCTTTTGCAGACTTCAACAGGTTTTCTTCCAGAATGGTCCTGTATTTGGCTCCATCCATCTTCCCATCAATTTTAGCCATCTTCCCTGTCCCTGCTGAAGAAAAGCAGGCCCAAAGCATGATGCTGCCACCACCATGTTTGACAGTGGGGATGGTGTGTTCAGGGTGATGAGCTGTGTTGCTTTTACGCCAAACATATCGTTTTGCATTGTGGCCAAAAAGTTCGATTTTGGTTTCATCTGACCAGAGCACCTTCTTCCACATGTTTGGTGTGTCTCCCAGGTGGCTTGTGGCAAACTTTAAAGTGGACATATCGTGTTTTCAAATAATTGATTTTTACATCTAAATCATTAGTTTGTGGTCTATATAAAGCGTAACTGCAATGCCTGGGTCTGAGTCTCATTATTTGTACCTCCACGGGCCTTTCTTCTACACCTGTTCTGAGGTGCGTCTGAGAGCAACCTGTCCGGGCCTACGTCGCAGGATATGACACACTACGTTGACAGAAATGTTTACATTGAACATTACTTATGCATAATTTTACAGTATTTAAAAACGTTAAGAACGTTTTTCCTTCTACAGAAGGAAAGAGACGCATGCGCCTCCGGAGCCGCAGGTTGCCGACTCCTAGTTTATACAGTATTTGGAAGCAAATACTGAGGATCAAGATATGTGCAGTTTCAACAATAAAATAAAATGCAATAGTCTACATTAAAGAGAGTAATAAACATGTCTCAGAGTGAAGAAGGTGGACACAGACAACACTATTGTTTGTTACAGGGATGAGAATTGGTCAAAAAAGACTGAAATGCATATTGTCAGCCATTTGCTGGCTTTAAATCTGTTTAATTTGTTCACAACATATTACTTTTGGGCTCAAACATCAACCTTTAATGCAATGCAAAATGTAGGTATCAGAGCTTTATTTAGGGCGTTTAATCGCGCTTCGAGGAGAGAGAGAGAGAGAGAGAGAGAGAGAGAGGAGAGGGGAGACGCGGACTGTTTCCTGCAGCAGTGTATTTATTGGGTGCACAGATTACTCAAAGACACGCATGGTCCTGTGCGCGTTTATGGGGTTGGGTACATGGCCACGTTGAGGCTGCGCGCTCAGCCACAACACGGTGGAGCGGCTGGACGCTCACAGCCTCTCGCAGCCGCTGGACGCTCACAGCCTCTCGCAGCCGCTGGACGCGGAAGCTGCTCATTACAAAGCGGCCGCAGATGCCCCGGAACACTGCGGCCGCTGAGGTGGCGGAATCCCGTTCGAGTACATACAGCAGGTGCCCCGCGGATACGCGCGCCCCGCTCGAACAATTCTCAACGGATTTACACTTCTCATAAACATGTGTTTTGTATGAGGCAGACAGACCGGCCCAAATATGGGCATCGGCCCTTTGGGCATTGCCCGGTACGCCCGATGGCCAGTCCAGCCCTGTTCGCTGGCATCCTTGAGCTTGGACTACAAATTCGAAGTGATTTGTTAGACGCCCATGCCCTTATATGGCAGTCTCGCTGCAAATACTGTGACGTAATAATTCTAAACACGTAATAGAGAACGGCAAAATCAGAACGGGTTGAAAAATCTTACCCAAACAGAATATGAAGTGTTCTCTGCAACCCATGAAGAGACTGATTTCAACTTTTTTGCACTTCTAGAGGCTCCAACTACACAACATAAGGCATTTAAGGCATAAAAAGTGGATTTTCCATGATATGTCCCCTTTAAACAAGACCTTTTATGGATATCTTTGAGAAATGGCTTTCTTCTTGCCACTCTTCCATAAAGGCCAGATTTGTGCAGTGCACGACTGATTGTTGTCCTATGGACAGACTCTCCCACCTCAGCTGTAGTTATCTGCAGTTCATCCAGAGTGATCATGGGCCTCTTGGCTGCATCTCTGATCAGTCTTCTCCTTGTTTGAGATGAAAGTTTGGAGGGACGGCCGGGTCTTGGTAGATTTGCAGTGGTCTGATACTCCTTCCATTTCAATATAATTGCTTGCACAGTGCTCCTCGAGATGTATAAAGCTTGGAAAATCTTTTTGTATCCAAATCCGGCTTTAAACTTCTCTCCAACAGTATCTCGGACCTGCCTGGTGTGTTCCTTTGTCTTCATGGTTCTCTCTGCGCTTTAAACAGAACCCTGAGACTATCAAAGAGCAGGTGCATTTATACGGAGACTTGATTACACACAGGTACATTCTATTTATCATCATCAGTCATTTAGGACAACATTGGATCATTCAAAGATCCTCACTGAACTTCTGGACTGAGTTTGCTGCACTGAAAGTAAAGGGGCCGAATAATATTACACGCCCCACTTTTCAGTTTTTTATTTGTTAAAAAAGTTTAAATTATCCAATAAATTTCGTTCCACTTCACGATTGTGTCCCACTTGTTGTTGATTCATGACAAAAAAATAAATTTTATATCTTTATGTTTGAAGCCTGAAATGTGGCGAAATGTTGAAAGGTTCAAGGGGGCCAAATACTTTCGCAAAGGCACTGTATTTGGTGTGTCCTGTTTGTGTGCAGCGATCACATAAATTACTAAAACTAAACCTGTTTTTAAAAGATCTTTTCAGAATTGGACTGGTCCAAATGTAATGATAATAATGTGAGTGATACAACATATAACACTTGAAACTGAAATTATTGCCATTTCTTGATTAGAAACGAGTGGATCTGTGCTCTTCCCCTATAAGCTGCCTCCTCCCACCCCCGCGGTGACGTATAGCCTCACGCCGACTTTAAACACACAGCGAGAAAGTGAACTGCTGTTAGTAGTTGTGTCCTTACAGAAGGGTCTTTTATCGTGCTTAGCTTTATTATCATTCGTTATTTACATAAAGATGTAACCGGGTTCGATATGAGCGTACATGCTCACATGGATATAGTTATATAGTATATGATCACGGGACTAAAGAATTCTGGGTATTGTAGTTCCAAGACCAAGATCTGAAACATTCTTTTTCACTGACATCTGACTTTGAGGTCGCTCTATCACCACAGAACTGGGTTCAGGAATTAAATACCATTCCATACTTTATTCATTGCCGGGTCGGGGGGGAAGCAGTCTAAGCAGAGCACCCATACTTCCCTATCCACACACACTTCCTCCAGCTCGTCCGGGGGGACCCCAAGGCGTTCCCAGCTGAGAGACTGAGGCCCTGTTTATACTGAGACGCTGCGCAGACGTTTCCAGGCTATTAACAGAAACGACCAGGCTCCTAATGCAAATTTCTCAGCGTTCACATGAGGTTGAAAAACGATGCCCACTACTGGCCCGGCCAGTAGTGGGCAGAGAAACTTTACAACACGACACACGACCCGTGCCCAGCCCCCCTCTCTGCAGTGTACTCACTTCCTGTGCCAGACCCTCAGAACGTACCAACATCATTCTGCATTTTAACAGCAGCTGTGAAAATGGAAACTGAACCTAGAGCTTCGCGTGGTCTCGTTTGGACGAACGAAAGTGTAGAATTATCCTCTGTGCCGCGCTGGAAGCCCATGTAGCTAGTTAGTTTATCCGCCGCCATTGTTGTTTATGTTTGTTCTCCACTACTGCGCATGTCCAAATTTACGTGCGGGGAGCAGCGCGGAGGTGGGGGTCAGAGCAGAGGGGGATTTCACACCTTTTCCCTCTCGCGGGTGTGAAAGAGAGCCCCCGCTGTGCAGCGTTTCTGAGTTGTCCCACTCTGCAGGCTGGATCTGAACACTTACGTTTTCACCTGGAACACAGTCTCCGTATGAACGGTTGGTAGAAACCGACATCCAACTATACCGTTTTACTGCCACATTGTCTCCGTGTAAACTCAGCCATAGTCCCTCTGTGTCCTGGGTCTTCCCCGGGGCCTCCTCCCGGTGGGACGTGGTCTCAAGGAGACATCCGGAACAGATGCCCGAGCCACCTCAACTGGTTCCTCTTGACGTGGAGAAGCAGCGGATCTACTCCGAGCTCCTCCCGTTTGACTGAGCTCCTCACCCTATCTTTAATGGTGCTTTCAGACCGCCAACGCTGAAACGCACATGCTCTAGTTTTCAGACGCAGGGGTCTTCAGACCAGAAGTCCTGGCGCTCGCCAGAAGTGGCGGAAGTAGCCGGCGGGCTCTGATGCAAACAGAGTTTAGCTAGCGGATTCTTGTGTACAAATCTTCTCCAATAATGCACCTTTGCATTAGTTAGAACGGCGGAGATAGGCGTGACTCTGGCCATTAATATATACAGTCTATGGATTTGACGCTCAAACGCGCGTCACCATTAACTTTGCGTTGAAAGCCGACGCAACGCATGATCCGGTCTGAACGCACCATAAGGGAGCAGCCACTCTGCGGAGGAAGCTCATTTCGACCGCTTGTATCCGCGATCTCGTTCTTCCGGTCATTACCCAAAGCTCATGACCATAGGTGAGGGAGGGAACGATGGACCGATAAATGGAGAGCTTTGCCTTCCATTCCTTTGTCTCTTATCAGAAACATCCCCCCCAACGCTTCGCTTCTGTGCAAAGGCTGTTTTCGCAAAACAAGAAAGGTCCAACTCGGGCCTGTCATAGTACTTACTGTAATATTCTGTGAAACCTAAGTGTATCATTCAACATTGTATAACACTTTCTGATTGATCCTTAGCATCACATGTATTTTATATGCTGTGTGACCTGTGTTGAAGCTCCGCCTTCCGGTGCATTCAGTCTTGTGCTAAACTCTGCCAGTAAACAGCACAACGAAAACCGCACTGTTGTACTGACTGTACATACTGTACATCTATTTCAAACATTCAAACATAACAATTACCATATACACTTTTTTTTACAAGATAAAACAGTCACAATAATTGCAGTAATGACAGAAGTAAAATTCTTCAAATCAATTTCTTGTGGAAGTAAATATTCACAAGATCAAAGATCAATGAACACATGAATACATCCAGAAATAAGTGTTTAAAATTTAAAAACTCACCAAGTTTAGGAGATGAGACTATGGGAGAAAAAAGAGGAAAATCATTAACCTCTTAACAGGTTGTGCACAAAAGTTGGGCATACCCAAATGTCTTTGCTTATTTAAAAACACATCTTACATCTCACATGCTTGTGTGATGCATCATTTTAAAGCCAGAGCCTTCTAGTTTATGTAAAAAAAATTGTTTAGCCTCGCCTAATATTTTCAATTTCTAAAGGCCCTAAAAAAGGCATACTTCATTGTAAGATCACAATATTCAAACCCTCTGTTCATTGTGTTGTTGACAACAACTGTCTAAAGTTCCAGACTTCTAAGTTTTATAGTTTTTATGCAGTTTCTCCTTTTCATCAAGTAGTGCACATTTGGCACAATTTGGCACAATTGTGCCAAATATCTTTACTTACATTTAATCATCATAAAAACAATAATTTTTATTATTGGTACTTATAAGTTACTAATCTATGTGTGTTTTTTATTTTTTAAATGTCAAAGTTATTTTTTTATGAGTGTAAATTCATTGCAGCTTCGAGAGCGTCTTTTGGCTTCCATTACGCACAATTCTACAGGCACAACCTAAGACAGGACACCATTGTCCCACCCCTTGCTCGAAAGCTTTCCTCATTGGCTACACGGACATGTCAATCAAAAATCCCGGAAGTAAATGCAAACAAGTAGGGACAACAACAAAGATTAGTGATCCATGCGCAAACAGCAGCGCTAGCTGTACTCACGGGAGCTCTTGCAGACCCAAAAATTGGTCTAGCTTTTCGGGAGTAGTCTCATTTGAAAGATAAGGAGCGAAGGAACACGTGGATACCAGATGTTTGGGTGAAAAACAAAGCTAAAAGTCTGTTAAAAATGAAAGAGCAACATCTGTGCTCTTTTTGTTTTGTTTTTTTTCGCTAAAGATAAATGCACATTTTTTGATTATTTCTGCAGAATGGATTTTACTTTGGGAAATACAAGTGGATATAATTTTCCTTTGGACTGTTCCAGAGAGAATGATGTATTACAAGCTGGGAGGAGAGCTGATTTATTTGTACAGCACAAGCCCAAAGGTAAAAAACTATTTCAGAATTGATTTATTTTGTGCCCACATTATGTGTTATATCTTTTGAATGCAAAGTCTGATGTAGTTTACACTTGTATATAAATGTAGATAAGAAAATAAGCTTTAAAATGATATACAGCTTTTGGGGTTTGGTGTTCAAAATACATCTGCTATTGCCAGCAGAACATTTAAAAACATAAAAACGGTGGATGTTAAGAGGTTCTGAACCAAGTCTAATTATTAATATAGTAATAATAATCACAAATAATAATCAGTTTTATATAGATCTTGTCTGGACACTCGAAGATACTTTATTATTCATTCACTCCAAACAGATTAGATTAAACCTGGTTTAATATGTTTTAATGTGAAAAACGTATTGTTAATCGATTATGTCACATTTCAGACTGTGACACATAGATTCACTACATTATTATTTCACAGACAAACAATTTAACCTTGATCATAGAGCAGTAATAAAACTTCTTCCTGGTTCAAATTGCTTTAATTATTTCCAAATTTAGTGTCTTCACAAACTTTATAAAGTCCTCCGAGTGCTCCACTGCTGCTGTGATTTATGGCTTTAAGCTAAATATACAGAAATAAAGTATATTGAACTTACCCAGAGTAAAAGAGAATAGCGCGAAGAAACACAGCAACCAGCTCATTGTCCTTCGATAAGGAAAGTGAAAGTAAATTAACTTCAACGTCACTTCTATAATTACCTCCAGTGTAATTTCCAAAATAGCTCCAAACCTCCAGGATCAAACCGTACTGAAATAAATCAAAAGTAATCAGAAACTGTATTAGTGGTATAATGTGTTGTAAGTGAATGAGGACCTGTAAAAGTTATGACGTCTTGGACTTTGAATGTGCGCTGCTGCTGCCATCTGCTGAGAGAAAGTAGTACTGCAGAAAGAACCGAGGTCTCACAAATCCCTCCCCAAAGTTTCAAACAATGTGAGAAAAGAAAAGTCCTTGAATTGTTTGTAAAATGCTAAATAAAGGACGAGACATACAAGTTTAATCTATAATACTAATTAGATTTCCAAGAAACCTCAAATAGTTTTTAGAATACATTTTAATACAATACACAGATGAAAGTATATGTATACAATCTGTAAAGACTCAAGACCGCAGTATGTATTAGTTTGTTTGCATAAATAAAATGTAGCTGTATCAGACAATTACACCCAGCAGACACATGATGAGGCACCAGTATGAATACTGTGTGTTTGAAGCTGAGGTCAGAATAGGTGGGAGCATCAGAAATAGTGCCCTGATGATCAATGCATGAAAACCCTACAATGTTTGTTTACCACAAACCAATGCTATTTTATGCTAATCATAAAAGTATACGCAACAGTTTCACAAGCCTGTTTTGACCCAATGTTGAGATGGCCTCTCTCAGTCCACCCCAAGCCCCAGTGATCCAAGATGGCGCCCTATTCAAATGAATGGCCTGTGCTCAGTAGCACATGGGACTTCACTGGCGCTATATTTAGGCATCGTCTGGGCCTCCCGGTTTTTAGGGATTATGGGATTATCTCCCATGATGCTTTGCGCCAAATATGCGTGTGTGGCTCTCATGCACGTGCACAGAAGGGCTCGGCCGCACTCTGACCAATCAGCGCTGCTGATCAGAGCAGAGCTAGAGCGGAGTCAGAGCGGGAAGGAAAGGAGCAGAGTTTGTGGCAGTAAAGTGTGGATTTAAAGGAAACCGAAGGATTTAAGAAGAAAAAAGGTTCAGGAGGACAAGGGACACTAAAATCCCCACAAAATCAGATCTTTATGAAAGCTGTGGGTTCTCTGTCAGCTGTGATCAAGCTGTTTTAGTTTACATTGAGTTCTTTGGGGAAAATTTCTGGGTAGCACATGTGAATTTAGTCTGCAGTACCACGGGCGCCCCCTGTGCCCGTGGGTGGGACAGCTATAAGCTAGTAATACCCTATCCAGTTATTATAGATCCATGGTCCACCTCGGGGTGGGCGTCCCGACCTCCAGGTCAGACCAGCCGATTGTCTCTGTCTCTGACTCCACTTTGTGGAAAAACCATACACTGTAAATATTAACATAATTAGTCACGTCTATCTCCACCGTTCAAACTAATATGCCACCACTTTTGGCGTCTATGGGGCTTTTCAAAAAATGTTAAACTTTTTTTTTTTAAACGCATTAGTGCATTGCATAAGCCGCCACTAGCCCCATTTATTTGACGAGTGCATTCAAAAGTCCACTGCGGCTAAACTAGACTGCTCCAAAAAAAATCCCCTCAACATTGACAGCATCTGGAAAGTAGTTTTGGGCCAAGAGCCACTTATGGACCATCCTGTAAAGATGTTTTTGAGAGGTAAGAATATGCTATACATTAGCATTGAATAATTCTTATTCTGGGTGTCAGGGTGTGGATTTGTTGTTAATTTGTACTTGGTTTTAATTTGACTTCTGTTTTCTGTGGTTTCAGTTTTTAGTTTTACACCCTGTGTTGTTCCCTTGTGTTTTTTTATTTATTAGGCCCGAGCCCCAACCGGGGTAAGGGCCTATTGCTTTTCCAACGAGTAATGCCTGGGCGAAGCCCAGGCATTACTCGTTGAACTGTTTTAAGTCACAATCTCCGGGCGCAGCCCGGAGATTGTGACCTGCACGCGACGGCACGTGCCCAAGCACTGATAAATCCGTGCCGGAGGCACGGAATGGCTTTGTTCCTGCTGTAGTACACAGTGAAATGATTAAAGTCCTATTAAAGGGGGGTTCCTTCAACTGTTTTACGGACGAATGTCCGGGCGAAGCCCGGACATTCGTCCCCCAAGCCCGACGGCGCGTGCCCAGACACTGACAAAACAGTGCCGGAGGCACTGAATGGCTTTGCTCCTGCTGTAGTATACAGTGTAATGAATGGGGTCCTATGGGGGGGGTGGGTGACCTCATGATGGCGAGGTGATTGACGAGCGCGTCAGCGCTCGTCAATCACCGAGAACCCAATAGTTGCGTTCGTCTGGTCGTTCGCTTTAAAACGACGTATCATTTGTATTATAGGTTACTATGGAAACCTATATTGTTTTTGCTCGAAGTTAAAAAAAAAAAATTCCTTGGTTTATTAGGCCCGAGCCCCGAACGGGGTAAGGGCCTATTGCTTTCACAATGGTGAAAACAAAGAGTGGCGGTGCGTGACGGACGCGTCAGCGCCCGTCACTCACCAAAACGTGACAGTTGCGTGCGTAAACTAAAACACTTTAAAATGATGTATCACGTGCCATTAAAACCTATATTGTTTTTGCTCGAGACGTCGAAAAAAAAAATTCCTTTTTTATTTATTTCTTTCTTTCTTTCTTTCTTTCTTTCTTTCTTTTTTCTTCTGCACTTTGAGCCTTAATTTGACCCCCTGAATATGCATGAAAAGTTGTTAATTTTGGCCCAAAAATCAGACCTGGCGAAAAATTTGATATTTTGGTGTTTATTTTTATGGGACTCAAAAAATGACAGAACAGCGCCACCTACAACCGCCAAAATAATACCCCTATGGGACTTTTCAGAGGTCAAGTTTGTCGTAGAAATATGAGATTTGGTACACATGTTCCTCAAGTCAAGACAAGAAACAAATATTATTATGGCCCCGCCCTCTGACAAACAGGAAGCCCATAAATTTCACTGCAAAATGGAAAAATGAACAGCAAAAGTTTTCATACATGTCGGTTGGAAAGCGACTCCTCCTCGGCCGTTTCACCGATTCACCTCAAAATGGCTCCACATCATCTCAACACATGTACCTTCAAAATGACCTCAGGGATTTTTGATCAGTGAAACATTGTTCGAGCAGCGGAGCGGCAAACTGTGACCTTTTTTTGGCCGTTTTTGACAACATTAAATTTGCTCCCGTTTGCACAAACAAAGTCTGATTTGCACAAAACTTTCATACATTGTTCAACTCTAGGGTCTAAGTCATTTGAAAGTGAATTGATTCAAATTGACACATTAGCGCCCCCTACAGACCATTTCTAAATTTTAGATGGGCATTTTCAAATTTAGTTTTTTCAAAATGTTTGAAATTTTGCACATAAATCTGTTTTGCCCTCTTGATTCAAAAAGTCAATAGGGTCCAAGGCTAATCGTTTACCCTGTTGCCATGGCGACGACAAACGCTCCCCTTTCATTGCAAATGTACACCTCACACAAACATCAAACCAGCCTCGGCCGTTTCACCGATTCGCCTCAAAATCGCTCCACATCATCTCAACACATGTACCTTAAAAATTACTTCAGGGAATTTTGATCTGTGAAACGTTGTTTGAGCAGCGGAGCAGCAAAATGTGAGGGTTTTTTTGGCTCTTTTTGACAACATTAATTTTGCTCCTGTTTGCACAAACAAAGTCTGATTTGCACAAAACTTTAATCCATTGTTCAATTCCAGGGTTTAGGTCAGGTGAAAGTGAAATATTTGAAATTGGCCCATTAGCGCCCCCTACAGACTGAAGCAAAGTTTACATGGGGAGCCAAACCAGCTCTACTTATCATATTCATTACAATTTGACTAACATTCTTCTATGGCTACGGAAACAAATCTTCACACGGCGGTGCCACCTCCTTTTAGCGGTGCTGCGTGGTACGGTGTGGTGCGACGTAGTGCGGGGCGTTGTGGAGCGGCGCGTTGCGGCTTGGTGCGGCGGCGTGGTGCGGGACGGCATGGTGCAGGGCGGCTTGGTGCGGGGCGGCGTGGTGCGGGGAGTGCGCGCGGTGCAGGGAGTCGCGCGGTGCGGCGAGGGCCGTTCGACGCCGCTTGCGGCTTTAATTTCTTTCTTTCTTTCTTTCTTTCTTTTTTCTTCTGCACTTTGAACCTTAATTTGACCCCCTGAACATTGATGAAAAGTTGTGAAATTTTGCCCAAAATTCAGAACTGGCGAAAAATTAATTTTTTGGGTGTTTATTTTTATGGGACAAAAAAAATGCCCGAACAGCGCCCCCTACAAAAGTCAGTTTACATTGCGCCTATGGGAGCGGGTCGGAGGTCAAGTTTGTCGTAGAGCCACGAAATTCGGTACACATGTTCCTCAGGTCAAGACATGAAAAAAAAGTTATTATGGCTCCGCCCCCTGACAAACAGGAAGCTCATTAATTTAATTGGAAAATGGAAAAATGAAAATTGATCTTTTTCACACATGTCGGCTTGAAATTATCTCCTCCTCGGCCGCTTCACCGATTTGTCTCAAAATCGCTCCACATGGTGTAAACCCATGTCCCATCTATTATTGAATATAGAATTTGGATCAGTTAAACGTTGTCCGAGCAGCGGAGCGGCAAAATGTGACATGTTTTTTCCAATTTTTGACTAAAGTAAATTTGCTCCCGTTTGCACAAACAAAGTTGGATTTGCACCAAATTTTAATCCATTGTTCAGCTCCAGGGTCTAGGTCATCTGAAAGTGGAAATATTGAAATTGGCTCATTAGCGCCCCCTACAGACTATGTTAAAGTTTTACATGGGCTTTTTAAAATTTAGTTTTGTCAAAATGTTTGAAATTTTGCACATAATTCTGTTTTGTCATCTGGATTCAAAAAGTCAATGACAACATATGATTATTTTTTACCCTGTTGCCGTGGCGACGACCAACACTCCCCTGTCTGTGTCTATGAGAAAATCGTTAAATCTCTTAAAAGTACACCTCGCTCAAACA